CACACGCACACACACACATGCACACAACCCCCAGATGAGTCAGTGAAAGTCCAAGGAAACAGTCTGGCACAGTCAGGCTTTTTTTTTGTGTGTGTGGAGACAGTGGAGTTGTATATAGCGAACACTTTCATAACACGCACACTTTCATAACACACACACTTTCATAACACGCACACTTTCATAACACGCAAGTGGGACGTTAAGGCACACAGGGATACGGGGGCTTAACCACGATCAACGTGCCCAGCGTTGTACATTTGGGGCACAGTAAAAAGGGATCTGGGAGATAGATGGCTTCCCCCCCTGGCTGGTGGTGGTAGTGTATTTACTATTTACTATTTACTATTTACTATTTACTATTTAGGCTTTACTATTTAGGCCTCCCATCCTTTACTATTTACTATTTCCTATTTAGGCCTTCCATCCCGCGGCAGGGTCAGGAGAAAGCTGCTGCGGTGCTCAGACACGGGTAGCTGCGGTGCTCAGACACAGGTAGAGGACTGCGGCAACCCATAACTCCAAGGGGCCCCAGCTCGTGCGCATTGATAGACTGCAACGATCGATACTTGGAAAACTGGACTTAGATGAGAGGTTAGGTAGGGTGAGGTTTATGAGTGAGGGATATAACTTTTTTTAATTACTCTTTTTGTCTCAAGATATTTGTGCTTTTACTCGGTTTTTTTCATGCTAATACACTCTCTACTATCCTAGCAAAAGTGGCTGATTGGGATATATTGATAGCAGTCAAGGGGTGACCCGAAGAAAGCCGAAGTAAAGAAACTCAAGAAACGGATATAATGGATCTATTCTGCTCCGTGTTGCTTGCTATAGATGTAGATGTGAAACTGTTTTATTTTTCGTAATCGCTCATCTCATGTGTGCTTCACTGTCTGCAATAGAGGTCGAGCCGCATTGCTATTGGTTCTACTCATCTGTGTGGAACAGGTGCTGTGTTGTTGAAAGATTGAAAATCCACAACACACCGTTTCACCGCTGGGGCCGCCCGATCTTTTGTTTAAGAAGACTGAGAAACTGAATGATTTCAATGTGTCTTTGTTTTTTATTTGTATCCCTTGTTCAGTGTAATTTTTTTTTATTTTTTTTGTAAAACACTGAAAGAAATAAGAATACAGTGAAACAAAGAATAAGAGGACGCTGTTCTGTGTCATTCTGGTTTGTCTGTCTTTGCCTGTCTGTCCTTTATTTTTCTATTCTTCGCTCATCTTATTTCTTCTTCTACTTCACGTGCTTACGCTCTTAGTCAATAGTTCTGTGAGACTGTCACAGTATATATAATATATATATCTCCTTGTTTTGCTTTTTTCTGCCTTCGCGCTCTGA